GGGTTAAGATCCCCTTACCGGTCATCTTTAAAAAAAAGAAAGAAAGAAAGAAAGAAAGAAAATGGCTTTTGAGTTCAAGTAGATTATGTCACCTGATGTACCTCTTAAAAGGGGCAAATGAAAAGCCAAGTGTGCGTGGCTTTTTTTTCTTCTTAGATTTGAGGCTTAAAATGACCTTGGAGTAGGAAAAAAGAGGGCGAGAACTGCCCTCCCCATTGAAAGTCGCGAGGTCCACGCGTTCCGTGTATGTTGCATGGTCTCTGATACATATGCACAGACGTCTCAGATCCCACATGTGGCTGGAGGAGTATCTGTGATAAGAACGGCGGGAGGACGTGGGTGTCCCGCTTCTCCTGCCAGGGACCAGGGCGGGGACACTGGTCCAGTCATGACAACTCAGCATCCTCCCGACGTGAGGCGCCTCCTTCCCAGAAGCAGCGGGTCGGGCGGGATCTGACTAAACCCTGCGCTGCAGGCCCGGAAGGCTTGGGAGAGGAGTGATCAGCCCGCTGGTGCCGACCCACAGGGTGTAGGTGGCTGAAAACCGAGGCCAGCGCTCCAGGATGCTGGGGAGACCGGAAAGGGTGCCAGGACCTTCCAGTCGCTTCGGCCCCGTCCCGAGAGCCTGGGTGACCTGTCGCGCACGCGGCCCCAAGCCTCAGCTAGGACCGGGCGCGGGGAGGGAAGCCGGGGACGGACAGCAAGGTTGGGCCCNCCGGGGCCTTGGTGTTATCAGCACCGCACTCTACCGAGTGAGCCACGGGCCGGCCCCTAGTACTTAATATTTTTAAGTGTTCTTAGTTTTAACTTTGGATCCAAGAGTAAATCTCTTTAATGTCTAGCTTAATAGAAGATAACTAGATTTCTGTTTCTACGTTCAATCTGTTGCACTGTTTCCTTCTTATGAAACTGTATATATGTTAATTTTCAATAAGTAAAAGACTAATGATAGGAGCCGGCCTGTGGCTCACTTGGGAGAGTGCGGTGCTGAGGACACGAAGGCGACGGGTTCGGATACCTGTATAGGGATGGCCGGTTGGCTCACTTGGGAGAGCGTGGTGCTGACAACACCAAGTCA